CATAAAAGGGCCAAGTTTGAAGACCCCTGTCTTAAATCTAACAAACAAAATGGAGGCTGGCTGAGGAATTCTGGGAGTTGAAGTCCACAAGTCATAAAAGGGCCAAGTTTGAAGACCCCTGTCTTAAATCTAACAAACAAAATGGAGGCTGGCTGAGGAATTCTGGGAATTGAAGTCCACAAGTCATAAAAGGGCCAAGTTTGAAGACCCCTGTCTTAAATCTAACAAACAAAATGGAGGCTGGCTGAGGAATTCTGGGAGTTGAAGTCCACAAGTCATCAAAGGGCCAAGTTTGAAGACCCCTGTCTTAAATCTAACAAACAAAATGGAGGCTGGCTGAGGAATTCTGGGAGTTGAAGTGCACAAGTCATCAAAGGGCCAGGTTTGAAGACCCCTGCACTAAGTGTTTTAAAGTAGACCTAGTGCACAGATACCCCAAGAAAAAAGCAAATTGGTGCGACAACTCGCCAAATAAATCTTAGCACAAATAAGCACAACCCTTGCAATGTTTGAGTTGAGCTAAACTCCCGATAACTTGGTAAGTTGCATTCTTTGTTAAGCCTCACCCTGCCTAAAGATTTTCTCCACCTTTCTGCTTCACTTTTCCCCCTCACAAAGCCTGGCCTGGGCTCTGCTCCAGATCCAGAGGGCCCCCCTGCAAGCAGAAATCGTCGGCAGGGCTGGCCTTGGTGCACTTGGCCTCGTCCCCCCTTCCTCATTTCCAGTATTTGTGCAGAAATGCGAAGGCGTGTGAAGAGGGATCCTTGGTCGTTGTGATCATAAAACAGGACTCCTGGACCCGTGATGCTCGAATACGTACTTTTTCCTCTAAGCCTTTTAACTGAATTTCCTTGGGTGTTTTTTTTTAGGAATGTCCCGTGGTAAATCTGTGATCAGTTCACTTAGCATCATGGCAGGAAGCAGTGGCCCACCTTACGACAGAGCTCACGTCACGGGGGCGTCCTCCAGCAGCTCCTCAAGCATCAAAGGGATCTACTTCCCTCCAGTAAGAAGCTTTTTCTTTACATCTAAATCTGAAAAGTTGATTCCCAGCATAAACTGAAGCAATTCAGTAAAGTTGAGGGAACTGTGTGAATAACATGGGAGAAAACGTGAGCTTAACGTGCCTGAAAAGTTGGAATTGACCACATTGCCCTGTCCTACTTCCCTTTATTGGCAGCATTTTATGATGAAGAGCATATTCTCATCACTTATTTTCTTTCACAAACACTTTCTTTCTGGTGTTTTAATTTCAATTTCCTTCCCTCCCTCCCTCCCTTCCTCCTTCCTTCCTTCCTTCCTTCCTTCCTTCCTTCCTTCCTTCCTTCCTTCCTTCCTTCCTTCCTTCCTTCCTTCCTTCCTTCCTTCCTTCCTTCCTTCCTTCCTTCCTTCCTTCCTTCCTTCCTCCCTTCCTCTGAAGATAGTCAGAATCCAAATGGGAAAGATGGCTTATAGTTACACCAGGGGGAAAGAAATCTAGATTTAAATATAGCAAATGAAAAGAAAATATCTCTATTAAAGCAGCGCCGTAGTGCATGTAATAAACTTCAGTTCGGTGTTCAGTGCAGACAGCCTTCACAGTGTGGAGAAAAATACTCCCTTGGAACAATACGGTACAAAAGTGCTTCTTTTAAAGTTGACCCTCCCTTTATTCTCCCTCTAAAGATTTTGAACCCTCCTCCATCACCAGCGACAGAGGACTCTCGCTACACAATGGAATTTGGCTATTCGTCCAACAGCCCTTCTACGCACAGATCGTACAGGTAAGGCCGTGTGTCCCCAGTCTGGGTTTTGGGCTACTTGCTGATAGGTTCGGGATACTTCCTGGCGGAGATTTGTGTGGAGAAAAGGACCACCTGGGCCAGGCTTTCTGGGGAAGGCATGAAATTCTTCTGGCTTGATGGCTGCTTCAACTACCATGAAAATGGGAAGCCTTTTTCGAAAGCCTGCTTGATGGAGAACACCCATCCAGGGAGCCATTTTGAGACCTCATCTAAGAGTCTCCCGCCCCAGAAGAGGAAGTCGTCCCAAAAAGCAGGTCCTCTCTGGTGGCCACAGATGACCGAGTGCCGTGTGGCTCAAGAAGACCTTTGGCTGTTTTCAGGTGTCGATGCTCACCGCCTCTTCATGTTTTCTGCCCAGTTACAGGCCCTACAGCTACCGGCATTTTGCACCTCCCACGACCCCGTGCAGCACCGACGTTTGTGACAGCGACTACGCACCCAGCCGTCGGATGATGACCACGGGGGGCAAAGGCTATGCCAGCGACCTCAACTACGACTCTGAGCCCACGCCACCGCCCCCCACCCCGCGCAGCCAGTACTTGTCTGCAGAGGAAAACTGTGAAAGCTGCCCCCCCTCCCCGTACACCGAGCGGAGCTACACCCACCACCTCTACCCACCCCCACCGTCTCCTTGCACCGATTCCTCGTGAG